ACTTTGATCATCATAACACTCGTTCGAATAACCACCACCATCATTGTTGTTGTCAAACTGCTACCATTACCTTGAGGTTGTTGTTGCCCTCTTTGCCTCCTTTTTAGCATAGAAACATTCTCCATTGCATTGACTTGGCGCGGATTTTGTACTTGTTGCAATTGCGCCTTCGCCAACTGATTCATTATTGTTGTAAGTTCGGCAATAGCTTGGCCATGGTCATTCAACTCCTTGTGCAAATGGATGACCGTGGGGTCACCTTGGGGTACATTCGCTCGGCTTTGCCATGCCGAAGAGGTGTCGGCCATTTCATCAAGTACGTCACATGCCTCTTGGTAAGAAAGATTCATAAAGTTCCCACCGGCCAATTGGTTCACAATGCACTGATTCGTGGTGTTGATGCCCCTATAGAAAGTCTGCTGGATCATCGCCTCAGTCATGTCGTTGTTAGGGCACTCCTTCACCATTATTCTATATCGCTCCCAGATCTCGTGCAATGGTTCCGTTGGCATTTGCTTCAAAGCTATAATCTCGTCCCGAAGAGCCGCCATATGACTTGGAGAAAAGAACTTGGCAATAAATTTGTCCTCCAATTCATCCCATGTGGTGATAGAATGATTTGGTAACCTTTCTAACCAGTCCAACGCTTTGCCCCGAAGAGAAAATGGGAAAAGCCTCAATCGCAACGCATCCTCTGACACGTTTGTTTGTTTGCTGCCCCAGCAAGTATCTACGAAACCCTTCAAGTGCTTGTATGCATTTTGGTCGGAGGCGCCCGTAAAATATCCCCTTTGCTCGAGCAAGGTCAACATGACATTTGTGATTTGAAAGTTCCCCGCCCGGATTCGAGGAGGAACGATGGCACTCGCGTACCCTTGATTAGGAAGAACTCTTGGGACTGCTCTTGGCGGTGGGGGAGGAGGGTCTGGAATAGGATTGTTGTCATTTGCGTTGGCCGGACGGCCTCTACGTGGAACTTGAGGTGGTATAACCTCTTCGGGCTCAAGATCCTCTACCTACTCCCCCGCGTTCACGTTGCCAAGAGGGTCGTTTACATTGAGAGCCATAGTACCTGAATGATTGACACAAATAGAATTAGTAAACAAGAAGGAAAGAGAAGCAAAACACAAAACTAACTAAACCGATAGTCAACACCGTATGCTCCCCGGCAACGGTGCCAAAAAGTTGATCGCGGCCGTCTCAACACTACACAATGGC